ACTTCAGTCAGGAGAACAACTGAGATAATCCATCCACAATACAAGGTTAGTCATTAATATACTGCAACAACATGGGAATAGAGCAGCTGCCAGAGAATTCAACATTAATGAATCAATGGTACAGAAGTGGAGGAAGCAAGAAGAATGAGTTTAATAAAGTTTGATTTATCTGACTGCTTTGTTTCGCTTAATGTGCCTTATAATCCCGTGCACCTTATGGTCCGAAAAATACGTACTGCACACTGCAGTTTAATGTTGCAAAGCACCTCTTTTTAACTTCAGTGGATATTATACATGGTTATGCTCAGGATATGTCAGCCCATTTCTACTGGAAATGCCTTTTGGTTAAACTTTAAGCAAGGAATTTGCATTTGCACTGTTACATTTTTGTAAAGGTTTTAATGTACATAAAAACCAGCTTCTTGTTTAAGTGAAAATAAATGGAAGGTTGTCTTTTTGCGCTAGTAATGTTGTGGAGTTGTATTTTGTCTCGCATCAATTATATCGTTGGTTATATCGTTATCGCAAATTTTCAAATATATATATCGTGATAAATATTTTTGGCCATATTGCCCTGCTCTACTCCAAGGCAAAGAAAGAATACAGATCTATTAGAGGTGTAGAGCTGGATTTGTAAAGGATGCTAAAAGGGAAAGAGAAGCAAAATAATAATAATAATCATTTTCTACAGTTCTTATTGTCAACAAAAGTCAATAAAACAAATACTCACTTCAAAGTCCATATATTATATCCCTCTGTGCCACAGAACCTCATTATTGTCCAAATAATTACATCCGCAAGCAACTCTTACTGCTGAGTGATATGTTCCTAGAATGAAATAAGGAACTATAACATAAACTAATGCATTCATTTTTTTCTTTTTAAAGATATTTCAAAGAGCCAGATTATAGGTGGACTTAAACATTGTAAACATTCACTGCTTTGCCCCCTGGTCCCTCAGGGAGATTTATTTCTCCCATATTTAGAGCAGCTATGTGAACTAATTTTATAGCCATGTGACATAAGAATCTATAAACAGCTAGAAAAAAAGATAATACAGGAGAACAAAACAGGGTGTATCAAAAAGAATCATCCGAATTCAAAAGGCCATAGTTTTTTGTATTTTTAAGTAATAGACATAGAAGCTTGTGGTAAATTTTAAAATATCTTCTGAAAATAAAATTTTACACAAAACTTGTGTCCTCCTCCATACGATAGTCAAACTTGTCCCATACTATTGGGAGCATGTCTGGAGCCGCTGCAGCAATGCTGTTGTTATGCCGCTACTTCAACCATGTGAAACTCACTTTAAAATTAGAAGATTCATTTTGGTGTATTTCATTGCAACTTATGCTGTTTCTAATTGTTCTTCCACTACAGGGAGTGCAGAATTATTAGGCAAATGAGTATTTTGTCCACATCATCTTCTTCATGCATGTTGTCTTACTCCAAGCTGTATAGGCTCGAAAGCCTACTACCAATTAAGCATATTAGGTGATGTGCATCTCTGTAATGAGAAGGGGTGTGGTCTAATGACATCAACACCCTATATCAGGTGTGCATAATTATTAGGCAACTTCCTTTCCTTTGGCAAAATGGGTCAAAAGAAGGACTTGACGGGCTCAGAAAAGTCAAAAATAGTGAGATATCTTGCAGAGGGATGCAGCAGTCTCAAAATTGCAAAGCTTCTGAAGCGTGATCATCGAACAATCAAGCGTTTCATTCAAAATAGTCAACAGGGTCGCAAGAAGCGTGTGGAAAAACCAAGGCGCAAAATAACTGCCCATGAACTGAGAAAAGTCAAGCGTGCAGCTGCCAAGATGCCACTTGCCACCAGTTTGGCCATATTTCAGAGCTGCAACATCACTGGAGTGCCCAAAAGCACAAGGTGTGCAATACTCAGAGACATGGCCAAGGTAAGAAAGGCTGAAAGACGACCACCACTGAACAAGACACACAAGCTGAAACGTCAAGACCGGGCCAAGAAATATCTCAAGACTGGTTTTTCTAAGGTTTTATGGACTGATGAAATGAGAGTGAGTCTCGATGGGCCAGATGGATGGGCCCGTGGCTGGATTGGTAAAGGGCAGACAGCTCCAGTCCGACTCAGACGCCAGCAAGGTGGAGGTGGAGTACTGGTTTGGGCTGGTATCATCAAAGATGAGCTTGTGGGGCCTTTTCGGGTTGAGGATGGAGTCAAGCTCAACTCCCAGTCCTACTGCCAAGACACCTTCTTCAAGCAGTGGTCCATCATCAAATGTGAGATTTACAAGGAGGGAAAACAGTACACCTCTCTGAACAGTGTCTGGGAGGCTGTGGTTGCTGCTGCACGCAATGTTGATGGTGAACAGATCAAAACACTGACAGAATCCATGGATAGCAGGCTTTTGAGTGTCCTTGGCTATATTGGTCGCTATATTGGTGGCTATATTGGTCGCTGATTTGTTTTTGTTTTGTTTTTGAATGTCAGAAATGTATATTTGTGAATGTGGAGATGTTATATTGGTGTCACTGGTAAAAATAAATAATTGAAATGGGTATATATTTGTTTTTTGTTAAGTTGCCTAATAATTATGCACAGTAATAGTCACCTGCACACACAGATATCCCCCTAAAATAGCTAAAACTAAAAACAAACTAAAAACTACTTCCAAAAGCATTCAGCTTTGATATTAATGAGTTTTTTGGGTTCATTTAGAACATGGTTGTTGTTCAATAATAACATTATTCCTCAAAAATACAACTTGCCTAATAATTCTGCACTCCCTATAGATGAGTAAATTTCACTCTGGCTGTGTAAAAACGTTCATAAACATTGTCTGTTGTGCATTTTCTAACTGGTATAGGTAGAGAATTTTATTTATTACAACATCCAAAAGCAAAAGAAAGAGTTAACATTTTTACTAGTAATTCTGCAAACTGGCATCTGCTGTATATATCAATTTGTAAAAGCACTCTTCAAACTGTAATTTAATATTAGCAAAGTCATCTCTCTGCATCATCACTGAGTATTGTAGCTGTGGATTCACAAACCTGAAAAAATCTGGATGATACGTTGAATAAGCATTTTCTCTGTAGATAGAAGGATAGAAGGTAAGGTCTATGCCTCGTTTAAAGAATTGGTTAGGCTCATATTCTACAAGCTAGTAAGCTATTTAGCTAGCAGGTTTGCACAATGAGTTCTTTATGAGAAAACATTTATGTGTAGGGCCCATAAGACCCCAGCGCCTCACCAGCTACTTGTGTTTCAATATGGGAGACAGAAAGTAAGAGTGAGAGATTGAAAGTGAGAGATAGATAAAGCAAGGAAGCAGGGAGAGAGACCAAAACAGAGACTGTAGCGTTAACACATAATTTTCACCTGCTGATTACCACAGAGTTAAGAAAAAAAGAAAAAACATGGGGTGGACTGAAGACCACAAATGCACAAACACAAACACATTGTGGTAGACACACAAGCATGTACACAATGCAGACATGCTCACACACACAAACACAGAAAGATATGCACACAGTAGAGTTCACACGTTCTCACTCACACATAACACAGCAACCGCAAATACACAAAATTCCCATTCCGATTAAATTTAAGCATCTGCCAAGTTAATGCTCCAAAGTTTTGACAGAACTTGTAGCATAAACAACGAATGCCCCAAGGCACACACACTAGCTATGTATATTCCATCAAAAAAAAGTAGAAGCATTATTAAAGCATTTTCTCTTTCTCTCTCTCTCCCCTCTTTGAATGCAAGGTTAGATCCAGATCGAGCCCACTGTCTTTACAGAATAACACCTTCATCTTTTTGATCTCCTCTCACTCTTCATCATCATTTTGTCTTGTTCTCTCTAATTCTCATAAAATGAAGCCCTTGAGAAAAACAACTGAGACAGAATGGCAGAAGGAAGAAGGACATGGCAGAGAAGAAAGGGGGAGGCGTGAATAAAAGGGGAAAGTGTCAAAAACAGAAGAAGTAAACATTAAAGGACAGAAGGGAAGAAGAGTTCAAAAAAACGACACCATAAAGTAAAACCCAAGTGATGAAAAAGGAGAAAGGGTGAAAAAACTCTAAAATGGGAGAAAGGAAGACAAGAAGGAAATGAAGTCAGGACAAAAGAGTGGAAAACATTGCAGAGAAAAGGAAATGAAAAGGACAGAAAAAAGTTAGAAGTGGGAAAATGAATTTAAGAATGAAAGAGAGTGGGAAGCAAGAATAGCGTCAGAAAATCAGAAGACTAAAGTAGTACAGTGAAAGCAACAAAAAAGGTCAAAAGGCCAAGATAGAACAAAGACAATTAGTTGCATGGCAAAATGCAAACACAGAGAAGTCCATAGGGAATGCTGGAATGGAGAATGATGGCTTCCTACTTGTTAAGTAAGAACACACTTAACACATACACACTGACACACACCTACACACACATAAGAGGCCATCAGAGATCTGATGGGCTGTCATTTTATCAAATGAACTGCCACTTATTGCGTCCTTACACCCCCGCTGGGATACTCATTATTGGCCATGATTGCCCCCACCTAACCTCTCCTACCTTCTTCCCTGCAAACTATGCACTCCAACATTTCTTTATCTCTGGGGCTTCTTCTTAACATGCCAATTATCATCAGCTTTGATTTGCGTTCTCTTCCCAAGAAGACGTAAAAGGAAACACTTTTTTCCTCATTTTTTCCTTCTTTGTTATCTTTCTCATCAGCCTTTTTTACCTCTCTGGCTCCAAATCATGCTGTCATCATATTCAGACCATAGTAAATCATTCTTATTATATTAGTGCTACCCAAGGATTAATGAGCTGAGTATATCAGTGGATCACAGTACAGTTGTCCAACAGAAATAAGACAAAACAGGATCAAGCAACTGCAAAGAGAGATTTCTAAATGAAATCTAAATTTTTAAAAATAATTGAGAAATAGGTAAAAAGGCAACATAAATGGGAAAATAATTAAACAAATAATTAAAGCAATAACAAAGAAAAAAGTGCTTACTTACCCGCACATTTGGTCCTGGTTACCAGTGGTGGACCTGGGGGTCCTGTTCCTCCCTCTCCAGGTCTGGAAAGCAGGACCTTGATCTCATATTCTACATCTGGGTCCAGATGCCACAGTTTATATGTAGGGGAGTCAACCACATGGGTCTCTACCCAGTTCCCTGAAGTGGTCCGGTACTCCACTTCCTTCAGGATTATTGGCCCATCACCAATGATGCTGTTGGCATTGGGTTTGATCCAAAGGTAAGTAGCACCAACAGAAAGAAGCTCAGGAGGTGCAATGGGAGTGGGTGGAGCTGTGAAATAAAGACAAAAATGTTTATTTGAGTGTAAAATCTTTCTCTTTTTTTAAATAAAATAATCAATAAATATTCTTCTGAATACATCAATAAAAGGTTTTGTAACCTGAAAAATTACACAGTCCCTGATAAGTCACACAGCAAACAGGAAAAAAATACATCACTTTCTTTTCACTTTAACTATATCTGCAGCTGCCCATATGGAAAAGATATATATAAATCTTATAAAGTTTGTATCTGTCTTGTATGAAACTTGTATGAAAAGCATACAAGAGTGAAAACACATATAAGATCCCTTGAAAAATTATATAATGAAACTTGTATGTTTTGTACTGTATACTTACTAAAAAAATAGATGAAAGTAATGAGAAAATGGCCACTTTCATGAGTAAATCATATATGTTTTTACTATTTCTTTTCCATATGGGTGGCCTTATCATTTGTAATGCAGAATTACAGGATTTACTGCTGCCAAGAATTCCAGCTGTGTTCCAGTATTTAGTACAAAAAAAAACTGAATGTCTCCAATCTTCTCTTTGGGTTTGAGGTGTAATTTTCAGAAATAACAATCTAAGACTTATATTTTCATTATATAGGCAAGTACTTTTTTCACACTTCAGTAGCAACTACAGACTATTTGGTCCATCCATCCATCCATCCATCCATTATCTGAGACTCAACTTCTCACATCCTTTCACAGACACATGTTGTACCTTTAAGTGTACAAATCCATCAACTTTTAATGTAATATTTAAGAATTACTCTGCTGCTAACGTGCACTTTACCTTTTGCAGTGAAAATAGATACCATTAGAGCTAAAGGAGACATTTGAGATGTCAAATTCTTTACTTGTAGCATTAATCCATCACTTTGTTGACACACTGCTGACAGCTACTTTGAAATAATGGCATCTGTCAAGCCTAAAAGCATGAAGTTTTATTGCTCTTTCCTTTTTTTTTTCTTCTTGTCCAAACCAAGTTCACATTTTATAGGCAATATCTTTTCAAAATGAAAGTAACCTCTGAAATGACACATGCAAGAAAAGTTCTAACCCATATGAAAAGAAGTCTAACTAAAAGCAGACCATTTGCTTTACTTGGAAAATACTATATATAATGGGGAAATTTAAATATTTGACAAAACGACTTTCACTAAAAGCATATAAAGTGCTAAAGTGCTGCTAAACACCAATGCCACAAGGGATTTTTCATACTCCCCACTATCACATATGAATGTGTAATACATGGTGAGTATGAGACCACGTAAATGATCTTCTGTTTTCAGGAAGAAGACATTAGGTATATGCAATCTACTGGAAATTTAATTATTTGAGAAAGACAAATTACATAGTAATATTAACTTTCAAAACAAAATGTGAAGGCACAGTAGTGTGACTCAACAACTGGCTCAGTTAAAGAGCAACAGGAGCAGATGGAAACAATGGCATGGAAATTAAATGGAGTATTTTTTACTGGCCCTCAGACAGTGCCGGTGAGAATTCTGTTCATCATTATGAACTATGGTAATTAGTATGGGCAGCTCCCACTTCTTAGAAGACCTCTATATCAGCACATTGAACAGCGGTCATGACCCACTTTTTAACGGAAGGATATGATGTGCCTGAGCTGCACTAGAAACAAGAGAATGCTGTCCAAGTGTGGATTAACTTCTTGTGTCCTTAAAATGTGAGTCATAATCACACTGTAATATTCTTTTAGGTAAAACAATAAAAATAAAAATCAGTTTCCTGGAGCTTTGTTGTGATACAGAATCGTTGAGGCATCTAAACATGGATCAGCTTGAAAGTTGATCAATGATTATTAAGATGGAGGCAATGATGCTCAGAAACACACACGTGCAAATAGAGGACCAACCAATTAAAGGTCTTTTCAAAATGAAGCTTCCTTACGCTACACAGTAATCTTCTGAAAACACTTGCAACTAAAAGAGTCATTTAAAGATTGAAGTTTGTGGTCTCTGAGAATGAATCTCTTTGCGATGGCAGGTGCTTCGTCAGTTGACAGCTCTGTTATGCTGGGTAAGAATAATGGTCCCTTTACTCCTGCAGTCTAAAAGCAAAAGTCCTGATTTCCCTCTCCAAGTTTTTTACTTTCCTCAAGGCTGCATTAGAATATGTATGGTGGCTGCGGGGCCGATGAATCAACTGTCAGTTACTGCATACTCATCCATCTCAACTATATGGAGGCTAAGTGTGTGTGTCTGAGTCTGTGTGTGTGCATTTGTGAGTGTAGGAGAGAGTGACAGACAATAAGCATCTCTGTGTATGCCTAAGAGAGGTTTAGTGTGCTTTGCATGTATTTGAATGCATGTGCTTCTGTCAAAATATTCCCCTTCTTGGCAAACAGAAACTTTGATTCTTGGGATAAAAAAATAATAATATTTTCCTTCACAAAATAGTGATACAGTGAAATAAAACCAATCATCACTACTGTATAAATCCCAAAAAATACATAAGAGTTTTGTTACAGTCTTTTGTCCAATGAACACAGTTTAAATGTCATTTCCCCCACTCAAAACTGGTCTCAATATGAAGGGAAAAATGTGCCATTGATGATGTTTCTGCAAACAATAGAGGTCCATTCAAACCATCTTTTGCAAAGTAAGAAACAGTCATCACATTATTGTAATGAAGTAACCAAATGCATGTTTCCTTTTCTCATCCAGTGTCATTTGACTGCCTGAATTTTGGTTACCAAATGGTCTGAAACAGCCACCCAACATTTTTTCAAGAAAAACACTATCTGTGTCTAAAGTCTGTCGGATTTTTGTCTGATCACAACCATTATCTCTCTGCCCCTTGATGTCAGCATTATAATATATGGTGCAGTGAAAATTGGTTTCTAGGTTAGTTAGTTCAGTACGATAAAAAATGGGCTCCAGAATGAGAAGTCATCAGTCAGTTTAAGCTGCCCTTGCTGGCTAGTTAGTTTTATTTCCTCTTGGCTTTCTTACTAATCTATCAGTTCTGTTTTTAGGATATTGCCTTTTTATCAACAGGTCATGTAAAACAATGATGTGGACAAGCTTTTTCTAGCTAGAAAATATACTGAGGAAGTATAGGTAACGTTCAAGGTACTACAGCTGTGTCCAGTTGCAGTAGTCATACAAAACTGGATGTTACTTTTCTCAGAACATTTTTAAGCGTAACTCACAGTAGGAAAATGGTCGCATCTACTTGAAAGGCTAGACAAATAATGCGAAAATTTTTGGGAGTATTGCACTAAATAAGGTAAACACGCCAAATCACTGACAACTACCTCTAAAAGAAGCTTGTCGACCTTTGCTACAAGTGCTTTAACACAGACCTAACTGTTCATTAACATCATTTATATTCAACAACTTCTCCTGATGTTACTCCACTGGAAGAAAGGCAAAATCAATCAATCACTCCCTGCTCCTTCTGTTTTCACCCACCATCTCTCCATTTCTCCCTCTGCCAGCTCATTTGCAGCAGAGAGTTACAGAGGCCACCCGGTGACATGCAACCTGGTACCCACGATGATATGGAGCGAACACACATTTTCAGAAACTCAGACACAGACGTTTGCTGATAAAAAATTGACTCTAGTACCTCTTGTACATATGCATGCAAATGCACCCACACAAATCAAAGCATGGGCCTGCATGTAAATACAAACAAATACATGACTGTACTTACACATACCGCAACTGGAACTGAATGATAAACCGGAGATACAAACACAATAACTTGTAAGAAGCACACACAAGCATTTCAGTACATGTAGACTATGTATTGCAAGCATATGCGGGGATCTCTAATGAATAAGAAAAACTACAAACATATTCTGATCGCTAATCAGCTTTAGCCTTCAAACTTGAATTCAAACAGTGATGTTAATGAACTGTGATAGGAGGGCGAGTGGAGGGCAGAAGAAAGCAGAAAGGTTTTTTGAGAGTAAGGGAGACAGGGAGCAAATAGGTAGAACCGCAAACCATGACTGGTGAGAGATTTTATCATATATTTAAATGAAAGTAAAAAAGAGAGAAAGCGAGGAAAGAAACACAATGAATGAATGTTGCCAAAATGGTGAGAGTGTCATGGTCCTGGGTCAGTGACCCAGCGCTTTTAGTTTGTATTCACTTTCTAGTTGATGATGATGATGATGGTTTGAGTTCTATGTGTTATATTCAGTCTGCCTTTGAGTCTGCGTCTGTGCCTCTGTCTATGATGTCACCCCATCTGTTTGTGAATCTGTCTGTTTAGTTCAATGTCTTGTCTGGTTCCATGTGTCTAGGGTTTCCTGTTTTACTTTGTAGGTCTGCCTCGTTATGCCCATTAGTTCCAGCTGTGTCCCCTCCTGTGTGCCATTTCCTGATTACCTGGTGTGTGTATTTATAGTTGGTGTCTGCCTGTGCTCCTCGTGGCGTCGTCTGCGTTTCTCTGTGAACCTCTCGTGTAGTCTGCTCTGTTCCTTGTTTCTTCGTGTCTCTCTGCCCCTCGCCTTGTGTCCTCCATTTTGCATTAGTTTTCCCAGTTTAGGTTTATGTTCGGTTCTGTCCACACCTTGGTTTTCTGCACTGTAAATAAAACCCACTTGCACCTCCGCCATTGTCTGCTATTGGATCCTCCTTTCTCACCCTCCACACGACTGCCGCCCCAGCCGTGACAGTACGACGCCACCACAAGATGGATCCAGCAGCTTTGTCCGGAGAGAGTGACCTCGCACGCATCCAACGCCTGATGGACTGGGTAACCCACACCACCAACGCACGGGCAAAAGTGGTGGGGTTAAACGCCATCGAGGCAATCCTGGAGGGAAATCCCTACCTCTGCCAGCTTAAGGGAGTTTCAGCCTTCGTTTGCGACCTGCAAAAAGCCCGGGGGGTGGTGCAAGCTCGGGATCCACAGGCTTTGTCCAGCAGCAGCGGGCTACAGCCGCCCCGGAACGGCCACGTCAGCTTCGCCCGCCGGAGGAGTTACCCGGCCCGCTGGAGGAGACTTTGCCCAGCCCGTC